GATTGCATACATCTATCATCTAACTTCCATTAACATTAACATCTTTTATGTAATTATGATTATCCAAACAAGAAAATTAACAATGATATGATACTATTAACTAATCTACAAACCTTATTTGAATTTCAACAGTTTTGTCACTTATGTCCCTTTTCTGGTACAGGGCTTACTCCAGGACAGTGAAATTGAATTTGGTTGTCATGTCTCCTTAGGCTTGGTAAATCTGTGACAATTCTTCAAGAGTCTTTGTTTCTCATGACTTTGAGACTTTTGAAGAGTACTGATCAGGAATTTGTAGAAGGTACTTCAACTTGAGTTTGATAGTTTTTCATTATTAGATTGAAGTTCTACATTTCTGGCAAGATTACCATAGATATGAAGTCATGGCTTATTCAGGGAATGGTATCAGGGATCACATTTGTTTTATGATTGGTGATGTGAACACTGATTACTAAGTTTCTTCTCATGATTAAGTATCTTGTGGGGAGATATTTTTGAGATTACCAAAATGTCCTATTTCTCTTTCTCATCATTCTTCCACCCACTAATTTTAGCATGTCCCATCTCTCTTATTTATTTATTCATATAAATGGATACCCATTTTATTCCATGGACTATAAGATTATTGGTATTTTGTTCACCACATTGTCCCAGTATTGGGCATTGGGAACTCCAATTTGGATCCTGGCTGCCTTTTAACATGCTCCCTTCCATTTTTGAGCACATTCTTACTTTGTGGCACCACAAAATGTACAATTTAGTGGTTTTAGTATATTCAGAATATTGTGCAATTATCACCACAGTCTAACTTTAGAATGCTTTCCACCTCAAAAGAAAACATGTATCCTATTCCTCTCTGCCTCTCAGCCTCAAACATCCACTTACCTCCCTTCTATTTCTAAGGATTTGCCTGTTCTGGAAATGTCATGTAAGTGAGATCATAAAATATAGCCTTCCCTGTCTGGCTTCATTTGCTTAGTATATTACTTTCAAGGCAAATCCTTGTTATAGCACATATAAATGTTTTATTTTTATGGTTGAATAATACTCCAATATATGGACATACCACATTTCATTTGTACATTCATCATTTGGTAAAAATCTGGGTTGTTTCTGCAATTAGATTGTAAATAATGCTGCTATGAACATTCAGGTACATGTTTTTGTGTGACCATTCTTCAGTTCTCTAAGGTTTAGAAGTAGGAGTGGAATGAATATGTTGTATGACAACTCTGTGTTCAACAATTTTTCCAAAGTGGCTGCATCATTTGACATTCCATGTGTATGAGTGTTTCAATTTTGCACATCTTTACCAATACTTGTATTCTCCATTTAAAAAAATTCTAGCCATCTCAGTAGGTGTGAAGTGGTATCTCTTTGTGGTTTTGGTTTGCATTTCTTGAATGACTAATGATGTTTGGCATCTTTCATGTGCTTTTTGGCTATTTATATAACTTGTATGGAGACATGTCTAATCAAGATCTTTGACCACTTGAAAATTAGATTTTTTTTTAATTGCTCAGTCCTAATAGTTCTGTACATATTCTGGATACTGTTCTTTATATATTCTTCTCAGATATATGATTTGCAAACATTTTCTCCCCTTCTGTAAGTTTTCCTTTCATTCTCTGGTTTTGTCCTTCAATATTTAAAAAAATTTTTTCACTTTGGTGAACTCCAACTTACCTATTTTTTTTCTTTTGTTGCTTATATTTTGAGTGCTATTGGCCAACACAAGATAATGAAGACTTATGCCTGTTTTCTTCTAAGAGTTTTATTGTCTTAGTTCTTATATTTGGGCTTTTGCTATATATTTGATATATTTGCTATATATTAATATTTGAATATGATTTTAGGTAGAGGTCCATCTTTCTTCTTTGGCATGTGGACACTCAGATGTCCCAGCACCATTTGTTGAAAAAGACTATTCTTTCCTTATACAGTTATCCTGAGCACTCTTCTTCTTCTTTTTTTTTATTGGTTGTTCAAAACATTACAAAGCTCTTGACATATCATATTTCATACATTTGATTCAAGTGGGTTGTGAACTCCCATTTTCACCCCGTATACAGATTGCAGAATCACATCGGTTACACATCCACGTTTTTACATATTGCCATACTAGTGACTAGTATCCTCTACTATCCCCCCTCCCCTCCTCTCCCATCTTCTCTCTACCCCATCTACTGTAATTCATTTCTCTCCCTTGTTTTTTATTTTTTTTCCCTTTCCCCTCACATCCTCTTATATGTAATTTTGTATAACAATGAGGGTCTCCTTCCATTTCCATGCAATTTCCCTTCTCTCTCCCTTTCCCTCCCACCTCTCATCCCTGTTTAATGTTAATCTTTTTCTCATGCTCTTCCTCCCTCTGAGCACTCTTCTTAAAACACCAGTTAACCATAATTGCAGGGAAAGATCCCTTAACCTTGGATTTCCCAATTCCCAGAACTGTAGACTGATGAATTTCTGTTCATTATAAATTACTCAATCTCAGGTATTGTTAGAATGGTAAAAGAAGAGTAAGACATTTAGTATTAGGGAAAGTGGTCCTTTGTCTATAGCACATGTTGCAAATATTTTCTCCCTGTTTGTCAGTTGTCTTTTTGCTTACTTTTTATGCCACCTCAATTTAAAATACTTTTGTCATCAAATTTATCAAACTTTTCTTTTATTGCCTCTGGATTTTGGGTCACAGTGATAAAACCTTTCCCTATTTTGAGGTTAAAGAGGAATTATCCTATTTTCTTTTAGTACTTGTATAGTCTCAGCTTTTACCCAAGACTCCCAAAACAATGTGGATTTTTTTTATGCATAGTGTGAGCAATGGATGTAATTTTATTTTTCTTTTAAAAATATAGGTATTTAGTTGCCCAGCACCATTTATTAACAAGTTCAAGTGTGCCCCAGTGATTTGAGATGCCATCATTATCAACTATTAAATTGCCATGTAGCAATGGAATGGTCTATTTCTGTACATTCCATTCCATTTCACTGGTTTCTTTGGGCATTCAACTATTTCAATTACAGAGGCTTTTAGTATGTTTTAATGTCTGGAATGGCTAGCTCCCATTACAGTCTTTCAATTACAATGTTAAGTTTTTTTTTTTTTTTGGTGGTCCTGGGACATTTTACCAATGAGCTATGCCCCTGGCCCATTTTATTTTTCATTTTGAGACAGTTGTTGAGACTGACATTGAACTTGCAATCCTCCTTGTCTCAGACCATGGATTAGCTGGAACAACAGGCATGTTTCACTACACTCAGCTCCTTTTTTTTTTTTGGTACCAGGGATTGATCCTTCTAAAAATTATTTATTGGATTACTGGTGTCAACATGTGATGGGGGTATAAATATGATGCACATGGACTCTTCTGTATGTCCACTTTTTCCATTGTTACCACATTATTTCCTCCCAACTGGGGTCAAATACCCACTTGGTGCCTCCATTTTCTTATCATCTGATTCTGAAGAGCTCTTATGGTAGGAGCAAGTTCCAATTTTTCTACAATGACAGTATTGTTGAAGTCTAGACTAGAATGAACAGGGTAACTTATTGAAGTCCTGAGTTTTTCAGAGGTGATGAGACATCCTGGTCTAAGAAGGGCAAGTCACTTGCGGCATCAATGACCTATCCAGTCCATAGAAACAAACCCACTGACTGAAAAAAAGAGAGGAAGGCACTGCAAGTGTGTTTAACCTCCTTTAACCAGTAGAAGTTAAGTTTCCAATTGGTACCATATATATTTTTCAATCTGGCCTGCTAATGGACAGTAGGCTGTGCCTTGCTCTGAGTTACTCTGTGGTGTATATAACAGTAGTTTTCAGGTTGTGTCCAGCCCTTAGTCACTACATTTTATAAAGCAGCAGATTGTCATGAGCTACTCCATATTGAATACAAAGTAGAAAGATTCTAAAACTTGTTTGTACAAGTAAACAATCACTAGCTGCAAGCACAATAATAAGGCACAAACTGATAAGTAAATTGTGCTAATAAAAAATAACCACCTGTGAATTTACTGAACTACATCCAAAGCACATGGACACATGGACATATCAAACCCATATCAGAAAAACCAGGACTGTGAGCTTATCAATCTTACCAGATGCAACTCCCTCACATAAAAAGAGAGGCACCTAAGACAGTGGTGTGGAATCACATCCATCAGACAATCCACTGAACACATCAGGAGGTTGACAGACATTGAAAACCCAACTCCACCCCCAGGACTTCAGCTTAGCTTGATTGTCCTGCTTGATGTGGCTGGCCACTTTGAAACTGCCTGCTGTCTGCCCCCGTGAAGAATAAGTTCTATCCCCTGAAAGCTCTGCACCCAGAACTAGTTCTTAGGCTGGTTCATAAGCCACCTGCAGTGATTTTTTTGAATGAGTATATGCTCTGTCTCTGCTCTTCAAAGGCTTCTTGCAACCCTGTGGTCACCTAACCCTTTCATAGCCTTTCTTGTAATACACACACACACACACACACACATAATTTGGTAAAATATGATGTAATTAAGATTGAAATGGAATAAGAGAATTTGTGATTGTTTCAGTCATAACACCAAGAGAATCAGGAGTATTTTTTTTTTGGTGAATTAAAGCCCATGAAAATGATGGGGCTTTTCAATTTGTTATTCAATAAACTCTGACATTGTGGAAAGACACAAATATGTCTGGTTTACATTAATGGCATAGCCTACTGAGGACACCGGCCTTAGCCTTGTTTTTAACCCCCTACAGTGCAGCACTGCACTACAACAGGTGAGTACCAAATCGGGGTGTATTGTGAGCTGCCTGTGGAGCACCCCTCGCAGTTGTATTACCATCTCTGTAGCCTTGGCGAAGGGGTGAAGAGTTAGGCCGCGTCGGGCTACAGAACACCAGCCTGGCAGGGCCAATAGAGCACACTGCCATTCGCTACCAAGGGCCCGGAGAGGGGCGTGGCCTGTCCATCAGGCAGCGCCGAGGCTGGGAGGCGCGCAGGGGGCGTGGTACCGGCCCGCGATCCGCAGGCCCACAGGTAGGCGGATCCAGCTGTGCTCGACCAGGGGCTGGAGCCGAACCAGAGGACGCCAGCAGGCTGACTTCGGCGGGATGGCGGCTGCAGCCGTGAGCGGTGCCAAACGGAGCCTACGGGCCGAGCTGAAGCAGCGTCTGCGGGCAATCAGCGCCGAGGAACGGCTGCGCCAGTCCCGCTTACTGACCCAGAAGGTGCGAAGCCACGGGGTAGCTCTCGCTACCGCGGACTCACTGGCCGAATTCCGCTTTGCCGGGCTTGCGGGTCCACGCAGGCGCAGCACCTTGAGCGCGCGCACGTCCCCTCGGGTGCACGCACGTTCCCCGGCGCGCGCACGCGACACTCGCTTCTCGTACTGTGAAGGCGCTGTAGGCGCAGTGGCTGCCGTATGAGAGGAGCCCATGGTGTGGTGTGGAGTCGTGGAACTAATGAGGAAGAGGGAGGGAGCGGAGTTCTTAGGATGGGTGGCTCCTGTGGTGAATGAGAACTTCTTAATGGGGATAGTGGAGATACTGAGGTGAAACCAGGGCCAGAACACGAAGTTCCGGTGAGGGAGATGGCTGGACGATCCCAGCGCTGAGGTTCCTTCAGTCTTAAGGAAAATGAGCAGCGGCCTGAGAGGCCAGGCATGTCAGTAACAGGATCAGAGAAAGATGCGTTTAGTTCAGTCCAAGGCACACCCCAAGAGGGTGCGGGAGGTGACAAAGGACGGAAGACAAGTTGAATTCTCCCCTCTCAGCACGTGGACGTCTGGGGCTGTCTAGAGCCTCCAGGCCTACAGTTTTCCTGTCGCAGAGTGGGTGAACAGTCAATCCTTTTTTTGAATTAATGAGGAAGTGATTATCTTACTCAGCCTTCTCACGAAGATAGGAAGCAGAAGAGAGGCATAGGAAAAATGAGGTTCCCCGTTTGTTTTATGACTTTGTCTAACTGACTTGCTGTACATTTTCAGTTTCTATGAAAAGCTTAATAAAGTGACATTCACTGTCATGAAAGCATGCTTTAAAGATGTTTGGGAGGCTAGTTTTTGTTGTATGCAGGAGGGGGGCATCAAGTATATATTAGTAATTCCTAACAATAAAAAAGTAATGATTTTTGCCTTCCCCAGTACCCTATCTTATGATCCGTTATTTTCTTAAATTCAAGTTTCCTATGGGGTAAAGCCTTAAAACAAGTACACACATTTCATCTTAATAAATGTAGGTATGCATGAGGGAGTCTGTAGATGTTAGTTCATTCAAATGGAATGATTTTAGCTAATATTACGAAGGCATATCTAGGTGCTTTAGTAGATATTGAGGATACAGAATCTTGTCCTTATATTAGTTGCTTAAAATTTAGCCAATTTATTCACATATTGAACACCATTATACACTTTGCTATGTACTGGGTTGTAGGAAAGAGAAAGATAATTGTTGCTTTAAAGCAGTAGAGAATATGAGAGGAAAAATGAATTGAAAATTATAATGCAGTTAGAATATGCTGAAGGTAAATGTCAGTGTTGTGGAAACAAGCCTTTGGCAGGGGATTTGGAAACTTGAGATGAACTTTGAAGTATAGATGAAGTTTGTTAAGTGAAGGGAAAGATGGGGTGGGGAAACATTTGCAGGGATATGTAGGCAAGAGAGGGCAGGGCATATTTAAAATAAGCTTTGGAACTACACAGATCTGGATTTAATCTGGCGCCACTCCTTTTTTTAAAAAAAAAACAACAAACTGTTTATATATTAGACAAGTCCCCTAATCTCTCTGAATATGCTTGAAGTTCTGTTGTGAGATTGAAGTGGTGTATAAAGAATGTATTCAATATTTTTTAATAGCTCCTGTAGGAGAATATATTGGTAGGATTTGGATAATGGGTTGGGGAGGGAAAACAGAAAAAAAAAATATGGAGACCAGGAAGGGGCTGTTGTGATAATTTAGGTGAGAGATAATAAAGACATAATCCAGAGGATGGGCAGTGAAAAATGGGGGAAAAGAGATAAGTGGGAGATTGTGTAGTGAGAATGAGCAGAATTTGGCAGCTGACTGGATAGAGGTTAGACAGTACTGGAAGGAGAGGGTCACCATTCCAAAGTTTAACATTACTGAATTTATAAGGAATGTAGGCGTTAGAGTGGATTCTGGAGAGGCATAGGGAAAATAAATTCAGTTTTTTTTTGTGTGTGTCCACAGAAGCTTTTTTTTTTTTTTTTTTTAAATAGGGTCTTGCTGTGTTGCCTAGATTAGCCTTAAATTTCTGGGCTCAAGCAGTCTTTCCTCCTCAGCCTCCAGAGTAATGTCTGTAAATTATAATTCATAAACTCTAGGTGGAAATAGTAGATTTATAGAGGCAGAACTACTGGCAGCAACAGAGTGACAACTAAGAACTGGCATCAGAGAAGGAGAGAGAAAAATTTAAAAAACCATATAAGCACATGTACACATACAAGGACTTTGTTTCATGACTCTTATTATATGCAGTGAACTTTAATATTTTCCTTTATATGTCATTTAAAAACACTGATTATAACTCACTAATTATTTCATGACCAACCAATGGATCATGTCCTGAAATTGGTGTACTGGGACTAGAACAGTGTTTTGCCTTAGTGAATTCTCAGTAAAGGTATTATTAAGTGATGTCTTTATCTGAATCATAAAAAAAAAATTTATTAGCACAGCACCTTTTTTATAATTTAAAAATTTTATAAGGAAAGTAATGTATGGTAAAGAAATTCAACTTTATGTTTTATCTTGACTTTCTAAGATGAGAAAATTAGTACCCCTTTATTCGCTTTGTTTTTAATATTATTTGCCAATTTCTGCGACCTATTTGATATTGTCAAGTTTTATATGTAAACTATTTTCTGTAACTGTAATGAGTCTACTGAGTGATAATTGTGGTTTATTTCCAAACTTGAAATTTTGGTGAACAGTACCTTAAGAGTATTTTTGTTTTATAGATTATATTCACAGTAGAACCAAGTTGTATAATTGAATATATAAAAAAAGGATATATAGTTTTAGCTTACTAGATATGTGTGGTTAAGAGGATTATTTCAAATGTTGATACCCAGTATATTCTCTTTTACTTTGCATCCGCTCAAAACCATGCCACATTTTAACTTTGTTCCAGTTTGGAACCCGTATCTAATTTAGCTCTGTATATTTCCAAGATTTAAAAATTGCCTTTATTTTTACCTTTTTGACAAACAAGAGTATGCCTTTGTCTTATCCATGGATTGTTTTTCATTTTGCCTGTTAGAATATAGATCCACTTTCTTTTTCAAGGCATCCCAGCCCCTGTTTCTTTGTGATCTGGTTGCACAGCCGTTGCCTTGGAATTTCTGCTTACTTTTCTGCTGAGTTAGGGCTATTTTCTGAGTTTAAATTTTTTTTCCTTCTTATTACAGTATATCCTCAGGAAAAAAAATCTATGGGGGTGGGTAAACTTTTTATTGATTTTTGCATTACAATATTTTACCCTCATTGATAATTTGAATTTAAAATTTAAAATTATTTTCCATGTCATGTTCAGTGCTTATGGCCTCCATTCAATCTAGATTGGCATCTTTATTCAATTTCTTTTTCACCTTTGTCGAATTCTTTTTAATTTTTTTTTATTTGTAGATGAACATAATACCTTCCTTTCTTTTCTTTCTTTTTTATATGGTGCTGAAGATTGAACCCAGTGTCTCACATGTGCTAGGCAAGTGCTCTACCACTGAGCTACAACCCCAGCCCCACCTTTGTGGAATTCTTGTTAATCAGATAATAACCTTAGGTTGGTTTTCTGTGTCTCTTTACATTTTACTCATTTTTCCTATTTTTGCTTATTTCCCCTTCTCCAGCACTCTCTCCTAAATTGTTTTTATTTTGCTAATCATAATTTTAATTTCCAGTGATTATTTCATAAATCTCTGATTGCTTTCTTCCCACAGCAGTCTCTTGATATTTTACAAATGCAGTTATCTTTTTTAGTTTGAGAAAACTAAGTAGAGTTAAAAAGAACAACAACAACCACAACTCTGTTCTTTAACTTATCTCAGTTTTCCATTGGGCTATCCCCACTCACTCCCTTTTTATTCTTCTACTTTGTATTTTGGCTTCCAAAAGATTTGTTGATCCTTTGTAGTGTGTACTTATTTATGGATGAAGTTGTATTAGCTTATGGGATTTCCTCTGTCTTTAGTAGTCACTTTGGTGGAGAGCTTAAGGGAGGAATATCTTCTATCTCACCTGTATCCGTGTTTTCAGAGTGTTGCGATCTGCTGTTTTTGTTTGTAAATACTGTCCCATCCACTCTCTGTCTTACAGGAATTATTCAATCCTCTATTCTCTTATTCTCAGTTCTATAATGGATTGTTTTCATGCTTCTTTGCAAGTGTCCTGTAAAGGGATTTGAGGAAGAAGATTATATGCAAAGTCTCACACTGCATTTTTTTTTTTCACACTGCATTTTAACGGATCTTTCTTACTGCTTATTCAGCTCTTGCTTTTCTATATTCTGCATTTTAGAGAACAAGAAAGATAAATTGTGTTCATTCATTCATTTTTTTTTTTTTTTTGGTGATATTTGGGACTTTATGCATGCTAGGCAAGTGGTCTACCAGTTTTTTTTTTTTTTTTCTTCTTCTAATTTTGAGACAGAGTCTTGCTAAATTGCCCAGGCTATTATTTTTAATGAGTTTTCATTCTTACAGGAGTGGTGTGCCAGAAAGGGTAAAAGAATCAGTGATCCTTCTGCCTCAGCCACCTGGCAGCCAAGACACACAACTTTCTCTTATAGCACCTGAATGCTAAAAGCCTCAGGCTTGCCTAAAGTCTGAGTTTCACATTTCCATTTTTCTTTGCCTGTGTCAGGTCTCAGCAACTGCAGCTTTTCAGAAACCAGGAGTTAACTTACTTCCTCAGTAGTAGTTGGCATTTAATTTTAATTTTCCTTTTCCTCTTTTTAATAGAAATAACTTGACTTTCTATGCCTGTGTATTTTTGCCAGTCATATTTATAAGAGGCTTTTGCAATGTTTTTCTTGGCTTGGAGGACAGGGGAAAGTAAAAAAAGAAAGGAGGAAAAAAAAAGAGAGTCCAAGTTCCTTAGATTGTTGACTTTTTTATGATTAACAAAGCTCAGCCCCCTTCTCCTGCTTGATGAATGATTCAGCTGAATATGGATTCCTTTTACAATGACCCCCACTCCCATCTTAATTGACAATTTAACATTCCGTAAAATGGAATGTTGTGGGGGTAGAGGGGCTGAGAGAGAATTATAAGGCATGACCTTGGGGAGCTTATGAACTGGTTCAGAATACTACATTTGGAACTAATAGATAATTAGTGATCAACTCATGACAATACAGAATTAAGTGTTAAGTTACCTATCAACAGTAGATGCAGTGAGGCTCTGCAGAAGGTAGGAAAAGTTAGGGCTTGATCTGTGCTTTAGTTTAGAATTTAGAAGAAGAGAAATTGACAATACAGGGAGTGAAGTTTTGGGGAGCCAAGGCTCAGAAATAGAATAAAACAAAAACTTTAGGGGAAGCATGTGATATGACTGGAGATCACTAAAATGGGTAAGGGTCAAAACTGCAATTCTCAAGAGATGATGACTTTTTAATGAGTTTTCATTCTTACAAGAGTGGTGTGCCAGAAAGGGTAAAAGAATCAGAAGTCTTGGGTCCTGAACTAAAAGTCAATTTTCAGGGCTTAGCATTGTCTAGCTTATTATACATTCTGCTTTCTTTTGGAAAGTTAAAAGAAGTTGGAAAAGGCTGAGAGAGAAGGGAGAAACTCTTAAAAGTCTCTAGTTTTTTAAAGTATAAACTTAGAAATTATAATTGCTGTCATTTCCTGTTTAGGTGATGGCCCACAGTCAGTATCAGAATTCCAAAAGAATTTCCATCTTCCTGAGCATGCAAGATGAAATTGAGACAGAAGAGATTATCAAGGACATTTTCCAACAAGGCAAAATCTGTTTTATACCTCGATACCAGTTCCAGAGCAACCACATGGATATGGTAAAATTAGAATCACCTGAGGAAATTTCTTTACTTCCCAAAACATCCTGGAATATTCATCAACCTGGTAAGGATGATGTTCGTGAGGAGGCTTTGTCGACAGGTGAGTCTTTTGGTGTTAGAATGGATGTCTTAGGATGTTGTCAGCTGTGATGAGATTTTAGATCTCAGATCCACCTGTTATGTTTGGGTCAGAGGAATTGTTTTTCCTCTATGTATGAATTTGTATTTCACTTATATTTCAAAACACCCATATATTACCTGGGTTAGGATATGGTACCTTCTGTAAGTTATAAAGTGTCAACTATAATAGTAAGGTATCAAGCAAGGTATTGTTTTCTCATAGGCGCTTGCCCTAGATTTAGGGGTTGAGTAATTTTACCCTTTCTCAAGGTTCAATTATAGTCTGTAGGCTAGTAAGTGTATTATTATTAATGCTAGTGCCTTTATATATCCTATCAACTACCCTCTGGGCATTTCTACTTATATGTCATGTGGGTATCTCAAATGCATCATGTTCCAAACTGAATCATCTTCCTTTCAATCCTGACTACCACATACCAATCTCAGTTCATGGTACCATCAGCCATCCATTTGGCTATGCCAGATATCTTAAGGTCTTGATTCTTCTTTCTTTTGTGCCCTACATGCATTCTGTTGCTAAGTTTAAGATACCATAGTCTCTTGCCTGGGTTACTTAACACCCTCTAACTGTTCATGTCTACTTCTTGCATCCTCTCCTCCCTCTCAGTCCACTATCTACATAGTAATTTATTTATTTGGGGGGGGGGTGTGTGGTTGGTACTGGGGATTGAGCCTAGAGCTTTACACATGCTAGGCAAGCACCCTGCCACTCAGCTACATCCCCATAGTAATTGAAACAAGGTATCTAAACATCAGTGTGAACTCTTCTCTTGCCAGTTCATAGTCTTTTGGTGACTGCCTGCTGCCTTTAGGTGAATAAACACTCCTTTAATGAGGCTCTTCCTGATCTTGGTCCTCCTTATCTTCCATTTTCATGTTTTTCAACACTTGGACTTCATAGTGTTAATTTCACCCACTCTGAGTATACTCAGTTTCTCAATTCAACTCTGCTTTCTCTACTGCTGGCTCTTTTGGTAGCAAGCTTTTTTGTTTATTTACTTATTTTAAGGAAAACCCACGAAAGGCACAAGGAACAGACTGAAAGAAAAGTTATGCACATTGTCATTGTTACTGCAAAAAAGAAGCCCTATCTTTTGCAGTAATTTAAATTTATTTTTTTAAATAAGTAAATTTATTTTTAAAATTTTGTTATATATGGCAGCAGAATACATTACAATTTATATTATACATATAGAGTACAGTTTTTCATACCTCTGGTTGTACACATAGTAGAGTAACACCATTCATGTCTTCATACGTGTACTTAGGGTAGTGATGTTCATCTCATTCCACCGTCTTTCCTATTCCTATGCCCTCTCCCTTCCCATCCCTCCTCTTTGCCCTATCTAGAGTTAATCTAATCCTCCTATATTTCATTGTGTGTAAATGCCACATTTTCCTTATCCATTCATTTACTGAAGGGCTTCTAGGTTGGTTCCACAGTTTAGCTATTGTGCATTGTGCTGCTATAAACATTGATGTGGCTGTGTCCCTGTAGTATGCTGTTTTTCAGTCCTTTGGATGTAGACCAAGGAGATGGATAGCTGGGTTAAATGATGGTTCCATTTCCAGTTTTCCAAGGAATCTCTATACTGCTTTCCATATTGGCTGCACCAACTTGTGGTCCCATTGTATGAGTGTACCTTTTCCCCTACATCCTTGCCAACACTTATTGTTGATTGTGTTCTTAATAGCTGCCATTCTGACTGGAGTGAGATGAAATCTTAGAGTAGTTTTGATTTGCATTTCTCTATTTGCTAGAGATGTTGAACATTTTTTCATATATTTGTTGATTATATATCATCTTCTTAGAAGTGTCTGTTCAGTTCCTTGGACCATTTATTGATTGGGTTATTTGTTTTTTAGGTGTTTAGCTTTTTGAGTTCTTTATATATCCTAGAGATTAGTGCTCTGTCTGATGTGTGTGTGTGGTAAAAATTTGCTCCCCAAAATGTAGGCTCTGTATTCACCTCACTGATTGTTTATTTTGCTGAGAAGAAAGCTTTTTAGTTTGAATCTATCCCATTTGTTGATTCTTGATATGAATTCTTGCACTATGGGAGTCTTATTAAGGAAGTTGGGGCCTAATCCAACACAATGGAGATTTGGGCCTACTTTTTCTTCTGTTTCTAGTTGTATTCCTAGGTTCTTTATACACTTTAAGTTGAATTTTGTGCATGGTGAGAGAAAGGGGTTTAATTTCATTTGGTTGCATGGATTTCCAGTTTTCCCAGCACCATTTGTTGGAGAGGCTATCTTTTCTCCAATGTATGGTTTTGGAGCCTTTGTCTAATGTAAGATAACTGTAGTTATATGGGTTTGTCTCTGTGTCCTCTATTTTGAACTATTGGTCTACAGGTCTTTTTTGGTGCCAATACTATGCTGTTTTTGTTACTATTGCTCTGTAGTATAGTATAAGGTCTGGAATAGTGATGCTACCTGCTTCATTCTTCTTGCTAAGGATTGCTTTAGCTATTCTGGGTGTCTTATTTTTCCAGATGAATTTCGTGACTGCTTTTTCGATTTCTATGGGGAATGTCATTGTGATTTTGATTGGAATTGCATTAAATCTGTATAGTGCTTTTGGAAGTATGGTCATTTTTATAATATTAATTCTGCCTATCCAAGAGCAAGGTAGATCTTTCCATATTTTAAGGTCTTCTTTGATTTCTTTGTTTAGGTTTCTGTAGTTTTCATTGTATATATCTTTCACCTCTTTCATTAAATTGATTCTCAAGGGGTTTTTTTTTTTTTTTTTTTGAGGCTATTGTAAATAGCGTAGTTTTCCTCATTTCCCTTTCAGAGGATTTGTCACTGATGTACAGAAATGCCTTTGATTTATGGGTGTTGATTTTATATCCTGCTACTTTGCTGAATTCATTTACTAGTTCTAGAAGTTCTCTGGTGGAACTTTTTGGGTCTTCTAATTATAAAATCATATCATTGGCAAATAGTACTAATTTCTTCTGGTTCTTTATGCATACTGTTCTTTAGTCCATGGCTGCTTAGGAGATTTTATTGTTATTAAGCAGTCAAAGAGCTGCAAACAGAATAAGCTAAAGGTGCCTGTTTGTATTATAAAGCCTCAAACTCATCATAGAAGTGTATATTCTGACTAAGACTTAAAAGAAATTTCATCACAACTTTATGCAGTCTTATACTAATATCTGTTTCATTCAATATAATACTATGCCTTATAAAATCAAAATGGTAGAGCTGGAGGTGATAGGGTCAAGGACTTATCAATTTTGTTACTTTAACTTCTCCTATATTTTCCAGTCTTGAGGTTTGCTAATTCTGAGGCATGAAAAGCATATTCAGATCTACATCCTTCATGTCTTTTATCATTAGACCAGATGAATGTCAGCATTATAAAACTCTTTTGGGTCTTCAAGGGGAAAGATTGTAAGCATTTTGATTACAGTGAGACAATAAGGGAATATAGCATATCTTGCGGGGGGTGGGGGGAGCCCAAGTTTATAAGATAAGGAAATACAGGAAGTTTTAGGCCTTGACATTGCTCAAACTTAAGCTACTTCTCTAGACTCCCAGGTTCTAGGACAGAGCTCAGAGTATGTTCCCAATCTGGCTGACTATGTAAACTGCTCCTCTGGTGCTTGCATTATTTCTGTAATGTACTTGCTAAATGAAATTCTGCATGGTTTTCTCCAATAACCAGTTCCTCCAGAGGCAGCTCATTCCTTTTAGAATAGCTCTGTCCTTTCTACACTGTCTTCCTTGGATTAAACTAAAATATGTTCTTTTGAACTTTCATGCATTTGTTCATTCCATTCAAGTCCAGCAGTGGGAAGAGCTTTAACTTAATTGTTAAGAGATTGGAATAAACTCAGTTCAAGTCAGTGAGCTAAATTATCCATATATGTATGTTTTTTAGCACATCACTTGGCACATAGGAGCTGTTCAGTAAATGATAACTACTATTTTTTAAGGAAAGCAAAATTTTGCTAGCCAAGGATTTCATGTTTTAATAAATTTCCACCAGATATTTTCTGAGCATGTGTTTTGTGTCAGGTGCTATTTCAGATTTAAGGTTCTGGACCTCAAGGGACTCACAGTCTACTGGGAGACAGAAATTGTATATTAATAGAATAAGTATCCCAACCTGTAGTATATGTCAAATATAAGTGTCAAATGAAAAGTCACTGAATATTAAAAACACAGAAGTTTGGAGATTGATCCTGAATTTAAAAAAGGCTACACCCGAAACTGGTTGTTAATTTTTTTCTCTTCCATGGTGTTTATCCAAGCTGTATATGTGATAGCTATGCTATATTTGTGATATCAGTGGCTTTCTTCCCATGCACTTTTCTTTGTAGATACTTGCAAGCTGGGTTGCAGAGGACGGGGATTATACCAAAGTTTCTTGCCATTGCAGTCTGGGGGCCTAAGGTCCCCAATGTTGTTTATAGAAACGTTTGAGTAGGCAGTTCTCTGCTGTTTGTTATCTCCTGGCATCACACTCTGCACTGTGGATTTTTACTAGCATCAGCAGCTTAGAATGTGGCAACTTCAGTGCTAAAGCATAAATCTAACTTCACAGTGTTTGGGACAAGCTGATCAGAGCTCAGATTGTTCTCGGTGTAGCCTTTGTAGTCTGTTTATCTTTTTTGTTTGCTCATGTTATCTCAGCTTAGAAAAGAGTGAGCTTTGGTGTTCTCAGTTGCAATTTTAAGTTTCTAAGCAAAAAATTTATTTTGTATATAGCAAAATAAGCCAATTAGCAAATGAAGTAGAGGGACTGCCTCTGTACTGAAGTATCTTCGAAATGAGGGATGCTTGGGCAATTAGATTAATCAGGTATCATTCCGTTGAGAGTATATAATCTGATTCAACCTGGCTTATGCAAAAAATGGGATTTTATTGGTCCAGAAACTGAAGAATCCATAGAGTTGTGTCATTAGAAGTCAGTCTTTCTCTTTTGTCTCTGCTTCCACCTGC